GGTTAAAATGGCCTGGGCCCGGCATGGCCAGGTGGATAAGGCGCTCGACCCTCAGATTGTGAGTCGAGCGCCCCCTAACCACCTGGCCATGCCGGGCCCCAATTACGTCAAGTTAAATAAGAACTGTAGTTTCAGATAATCTAATTTTAGATTAGAACGAATGTCAATGAAGAGATAATGGCTCTACCTGGACTGCAGCTTTAGTAAGACACTCAATAATTGTTTGACAATAATCCTCAATATCAGATAGTTTGTTTGCTACATTTATTGTTGATTTTGGTAATAATTTATGTAGGAAGTTTAAGAAGACGTAAACCAGTACTTACAATCAATTTAAAACTTCCACTAACAATTTCCTTGATGCACACTACGTTAAGCTCACAGCCATTAAAAATCATCATCATACTGCGTTATTTCATTCCAGTCCGAGGAGGGACTGGTTGGTCAGTAGAGGGTTACGAAAACGAGAAAAAGGGGGAAGAACAAAAGACACAAGATATGGGCAAGAGTGTGAAGGAAAGTATAGAGAACACGAGTGAGAAAGAAGAAAAAAAGCGAAATGGGAAGTATAGTGAGAACGAGATAAATGAAGTGCAACAGCAGGAAAACAGGCAGTGAAAACATGCCTAAAGAGTGAGAGGAGCACGAGAGAGTAGAAATATGGTGAAGAGTCATGCCGGAAAGCACAAACTGTGAAGTCCATGGGCTTCAGGGCCCTGGATAGATAGACGGTGGTAGATGAGACATAGGAACTGCATGATTGGGATCATCTGGCGAAAGTGACATAACATACAAGTTCAAAAGATGATCAGCAGGTGGTAAAACAATCCGTGTGGAATTCACTGTGGTAGCAAGGACATCAGAGAATATCACGAAGATAGCAAGTACGAAGCTATTGCAGGTGGAACAAGATATGCGGAAAGTTGAAACAGTTGTACAACTCCTGAGTTGGACTAGGCAACTTAACATGGAAAACATGGCGTTCCGATATATGAAGAGGAGAATAGAAAGCTGTAGAAGCGGAAATCCAAGTGGTATGACCATATCCCCTAAAAATCTACATAAAACCATCATATGATGTATATTTTTGGTTACTACAACACCATAGCATGTACACAACACTGTCAGTATTAAAAATACTTGGATTATTTGATGGCTTGAATTTTTTCTGAGATGATTCTTCATTTTTCTTTACTGAAATTTAAATGACATATATCAGGTTTGTGCAATACAAAGTCCCAAACGGGATACACGCATATTGTGCTGCCATCTAGCTTTCAGAGATAAAACTATAATGAAATATGAAAATAATATATGATAAATTAAACTGCTAAGTAGTAGATGCATATCAAACTTTTATCTACAATAGTGGAATCTAATAAGTTGAACTATGTTTCTTAATATCTATTTTGCTAAGCACTATATACGGTACTATTCTGTGATTTATATTAATTTCTCTCATCAAAAGGTGGAAATAAAATGATCAGTTCAAGTTATTGATCAGTGTAGACATGTTTAAACACGCTAGAAAGCTAAATGGCGGTTTTCTGACAAGATCTAGATCTCTCAGTTTGTGAGGTGGATGGCACAATTTGTAGTTCTAACAAATGTTCTTTTCATCATTCATTTTAAGTTAAACGTTAACCCTAAGTCAAGTAAAACCACCTAATAATTGCAAATGCCAGAAGATGGTGCTAAAGAATCGATTATCTTCTTGTACTGTAACAGGAAGATTATAGTCGTGTACTAAACAAGCTTTTGCACTTTACATGCCTGTCTTCTTTGTACATTAACTCTAACATCTTTCTTTCTAATTTGTAGTAATCAGCATAATAATCATGTCATCTTTTTCACTTCCAACTTCTATTTTTGGGATTGTAAAGAGTCTTCTAAAACCAGCCTTTATAGGATATGTATGTGTTGTCAGATATAAAAAGTAGAAAAAACAGAAGAATTCATTCATTTATATTTAATAGAACTAAATTATATAAAAACTTAAAAGACGGAAATTCTGAAATCAGCAAAGAACCGAACATAACATATTTGTTAATATTTTAGTTCCATTTTTGCCCTGAAGATGGTAGCATGCTAGAAAAGAGTGTCACATAATAAATGATATGAAATAAAGAAATCCTCTTATTACTACCAGAAAATGATATTTTTTAATGAAAAAAATTAAGGTTCCGCCATCTATTGATAGATAAAGAAAACCCTAAAATACATATTTTTAGCCAAA